AATCTACCATGAATTCGAACCCGTTTTCACCAAAGAATCATTCGACAAACTTCCCCCGAAACGTCCTTGGGACCATGCAATCGAGTTAATACCCGAAGCTAATGGTCTTGACTGTAAAACGTACCCTCTTAGCCGAGACGAACAACACCATCTAGACGAATTCCTTAACGAAAATCTAACAAGTGGACGAATTCGAGTATCCAAATCACCTTACGCATCACCATTCTTCTTTATCAAAAAGAAAGATGGCTCACTACGCCCTGTCCAAGATTATCGCAAGCTGAATGAGCTTACCATAAAGAATCGCTACACCCTCCCCCTCATATCCGAACTTATCGATAAACTCAAAGGTGCCAATTACTTCACAAAACTAGACGTACGATGGGGATACAACAACGTCCGAATCCAAGAAGGAGACGAACACAAGGCCGCTTTCAGGACCAATCGCGGCCTGTTCGAACCCCTCGTCATGTTTTTCGGACTTACCAACTCGCCAGCAACCTTCCAGACCATGATGGACCACCTCCTAAGAGAACTGATCACGGAAGGAAAAGTTATTGTATATTTAGACGATATTATGATCTTCACGGAAACACTCGAAGAACATCGTCAAATAGTCACCAAAGTCCTCCGTATCCTGCAACAAAATCAGTTGTATCTTAAACCAGAGAAGTGCGAATTCGAGAAACAGGAAGTCGAGTACTTAGGCATGATCATCTCCAAAGACACTATCCGTATGGATCCGTTAAAAGTCGCAGCGGTCGCTGACTGGCCCGCACCAAAGAACAAAAGGGAACTCCAATCATTCTTAGGGTTCTCCAATTTCTATCGACGATTTGTTAAAGACTACGGACGAATTGCGAAACCACTCACTGTGCTCACTGGAAAAGTTGACTGGACCTGGAAAGACGAACAAGAGACGTCCTTTGAAACGTTGAAGAAAACGCTTACTACTGCCCCCACCCTTGCTATACCAAACGACGACGACCCATTCAAACTAGAAACCGACGCCTCTGACTTCGCTGTAGGAGCCGTCCTATCCCAGAAACAAAACGACAAATTCAGACCCATAGCATTCCTCTCGAAAGCCCTTACCCCTGCAGAACGGAACTATGAAATTTACGACAAAGAGATGCTCGCAGTCATGACGGCGTTAGATGAATGGCGACATCACCTTGTAGGATCGAAACACCCCTTCACCATCTTCACAGATCACCAAAACCTCCTCTACTTCCGTCAACCGCAGAAATACAATCGACGCCAAGCTCGATGGTCATCCCAGCTTGCAGATTATAATTTTAAGATGGAACACGTCAAAGGAAATCAGAATACGAAGGCCGACCTGTTAAGCAGACGGATCGATCATCCTAAAGGCACAAACGATAACGAAGATCAGATACTTCTCCCAGACGTACATTTCGAATTACTTGACACCAACGAAGGATACCTACCAGATATACGTCAAAGCTTCCAGAAACAAGACGACGTAGTAAGGAAGAACTTGAAAGAGAAGCCGGATACCTGGAAGATGAAGGATAGGATCGTCTGGATCAAAAGAGAGTCCGCGACGAGTTCCTACCCGATCCCTTTAGCTGACCGAGTATACGTTCCCCGAAATCACGAACTAAGGGCGCGAATATTGAAAGATCATCACGACGAAGCCCTAGCCGGGCACCCAGGAGAAAGAACGATGTTTGAACGAGTGAACCGAGAGCTCTGGTGGCCGAGTCTTCGTACAGATATCAGACGGTATGTACGAGGGTGCGAGAGTTGTCAACGCACCAAGGCACACCGGACAAAGACTAACGCCCCTCTACACCCGAACCCGATACCAGATCGGCCTTGGCAGGTTATCACCACCGATCTCATAGGCGCATTACCGGAATCCAAGGGCTACACCGCCGTTCAGGTCTTTGTTGACCGATTTAGTAAAATGGCCCATTTCGTCCCCACCTTCGTCACTCTCGACTCGGCCGGTTATGCACGTCAACTCCGAGATAATGTAATACGACTCCACGGAATTCCTGAAAAGATCGTCTCCGATCGAGGTCCTCAATTCATGTCTCGATTCACAAAAGACTTCTACGACCTAATGGGGATAACACCAGGCCTCTCTACAGGCTATCACCCTCAAACAGACGGACAATCCGAACGGATCAACCAGGATCTAGAGCACTACCTCCGCGTTTTTATAAATCATCGACAAGATGACTGGGCAGACTGGCTCTCCATTGCTGAGTTTACATACAACAACCACCTCCATACCGCAACGAATCAAACACCCTTCTTTTTGAACTATGGGTTACACCCAAGAACGAATATCACCACCACGTTATCCCCTCGCTCCGCTTCTGCAGCAGAATTTAGCGAACAAATGAAAAAACTCCACGATATCACGAAATCCTCCCTTCTGGTAGCAAACGAGAATCTGAAGAAGTATTACGACCGTAAGAAATCCCCCTCCCGGGAGTACCAAGCTGGCGACAAAGTCTGGTTAGAAGGGCATAACATCACAACGGATAGACCAATGAAGAAATTAGACGATAAACGCTTCGGACCTTTCAAAGTCACCCAAAAGGTCGGACCCTCCGCCTATCAACTCGATATCCCTAAAAGTTGGAAGTCCATTCATCCCGTGTTCAACGAAGCCATCCTTTCCCCATACCACGCTCCCGAATTCATCAATCAACCAATTTCCTCGCGACCACCACCCGAGATCGTGGAAGGGATAGACGAATACGAAGTAGAGAGTATAATCGCTTCCAGACCGACCAAACTGAAAGGTAGTAAACTCGACTACCTCATTCACTGGCATGGTTATCCAGTCTCCGAACGAACTTGGGAACCCGACACCAATCTTACGCATGTCGCTGATTTACTCGCCGCCTTCCATAAAACAAATCCAGCCGCCCCTCGGATTATTACCGCTTCTCTCCACTTCCGTCCTTACGAAAACTACACCGCCACTTCCAAACCTCCCATGCTCTTTGATTGGATTAGTAACAAGTTCCAAAGTGCCGCATCCGGACTCATGAGGACACGAGTCTTATAAAAGGGGAGCTAATGTGAGGAATCGATTTTTCTTATCGCATTCCCGTCATGTCGTGGTTAGCAGACTCAATCCCCGTCACTCCTCTTGCCCTTGGACTAGAGATTACAGCAGGTGTCTTATTACTTTTATCATTTTTCTTCTTATTCTCTCTTCACACTCACGTTCTATCGTACCTACGACGAGGTAGACTCGTTGTCGACCCTCGAGAAGATATCCAGATGACATAGTCACGATCCAGTGCTATGTCTGGGAATACTTTGGAGGAATATTGATAAGCGAAGAAGGTTGTGAGTCAGCGCCTTCTCATGGGCTTACTGATACAGCCAATCGTACATCCCTTACCAATACGCTTTCTCATACGATTAGTAAAGACGATAGATCGGACCACTTTCTTCCTTTTTTCTTATTGGTTAGCTAGCTGGTCAGACCACTTTCTCAGTACTCCCCTTTCTCGGTCTGACCATCGTCGTTCACTATATAGAGAAGTACATACTTGATGTATTGTTCTCCAGTTCAATATTAGTTTGGATTTGCGCTCTTACCGATACTCTTCATTCTCATACTCTGATTCACCGCCTTCAAGGAAGGACTTGACCAGACATTGGGCTTTGTTATATAGCTTCGTATTTGTTGCCTGACATAGGTTACACTCATAACCACAACTTCCACACCCACCACCGCACAAAAATGCTGGCTTCTACAGTGGCTCCTCAATGTCAGGTCACAATTCAGATTGCTCTACATCATGTGAAGGATGAAGGAAAGTCTGGGACAGAGTTGGTTGGGGTGAGTTCATGGCTTTTATTTTGATTCTTGAGGACACTCGCTCATATTTTGGGTTGAGAACATTGAGCGGGATATTTCAGTACCACTCTCCATCAAATGCGGCCAACTACATGACACTATCATAGAAAACCTGAAGTGTCTATGGGTTGTCTGGTCTTGTGACCATTGGTTGGCGCTCGAGTCACTACAAATGCTCAAGGCTCCGTTACTACTCATTTATGACCCTGAAGAGCCTCAGCAGTACTCCAAGTGACTAATCCTCCACAACTTCTTTTTTCGCGCCTCTGGTAAAGACTTTACACCAAAGTTTTTGCCAAACGTCAAAGTCTCCATCGTCCTCCTGATGTTGAAGGAAGATTTTGAAGATGTCTTGCTGTGGAAGGAAGAAGATAAGCATGCCAAAGCACACTTGTGCAATGAAGATGCTCAGAGTCCGGGGATCTCATCTGGTGAGGATGATGATGTTGGTGGTCCAATGGATAGGGTTAATACTTCTTGTTATGTATTATTTTGCTATGCTCATACTATTATTCTCATAGATATTTCTTGCAGCAACATCAGGCGGAAAACAAGCCAGAAAAACTCGTGCAAAAGAGACATCAGTGCAGTATCCTCCTCCCACACGTGGCTCTGTGCCCGTTCACCAGAAAATACCAGCCGGAGAACAGGTATGTCCCTGGGTTTTATATAATTACAAATAATACTTACTGCTTGCAGGTACCTAGTAATCATGTAGATACGGAGATGACAACTTCAACCTCAAGCTTATTTCATAGCAGGGCACAACCACTACCCGAACTACGCCCCCTCACTCCCTTGAGTTCCAGCATCCAATCTCTGCCTTCTAGGATACTCTCTATGGATACCCCACCCCTGGATGTCCCACCATTTAGTGTGCCGGACAAAGCTGTTCTTCAATGTGTGATGATGGCTCAAGGGGATGTTCAGCGCCTGGCAAAGCCTATTTGTAAGTGGAACACCCTCTTTCATGAATATGTACTAATACAACACTGAAATAAGCACCAACATAGGAGTGTATGTGCTGTTCCTGGTACCCTCAACCCCATTTACAGACCTCCTCAAGAAATGAGTCCCTTTTGGCGTCATGAACCAGGTTAATCGCCCCATAGTGATATTGACGGTTGACTGTAGTTCCAAGGCAATGCTTGGACCGGCTGGAAGCTTCAAAACGTGTTATCCGGCGTTGTTAGAACGAAGTGAAATGTTGCAACCAGAGGACAACATTCTGCAGGTGGAAACCATAGTGGCTAAGTGTTGCTTTTACAGAAAACAGGTAGAGGGGGCCGAAGTGAGCAAGACCCCATCAAGTCCTTCGGGTGGGCGCAAACGGCTGGCTGTTCAGGACGAGCTAGTGAAGATGCTTGACGAAGCCAATTGTCTTTACTGGGCAACGAGCCTAATGACTTTAGTGTATAATTTCATTGACGACAAACTAATTTGCAGGCCCCTCGTCTATTCTCCCCCAATTATTCCTCGCCTCTGTATTGTCCACACTGCTTTAGCCATCCCCCAAGATACCAGAGAGTCACACAATGCCGTGTATCTTCTGGAAGAAAGGATTAGCGGCCAGTTTGTCAAGTATATCAACAACAACTGTGCAACTCCTCGCCATAGCCTTGCCCCAGCCAAACTGGAGATCGCAACATTCCTGTGTTTTGCACAACACGCACAGTATCATTTCTCGCAAGGTCTTGTCTTTGTTTCAGATTTTCAAGGTATGTTATTTTGTCTCTTTCTATCTCTTACTTAGTTTTGCTTCTCAGGGTCCAGTAAAATCCTGACCGACTGTCAGATTATCACAACCAAGTCAGTCTTTTTTTCCTATCAAGTTACCAGCTCTCATCTTTGCCCCCAGTGAGTTTGCAAATAACTTTGGTGAAGGAAACTGGACGGCAACTCTGGACAACTTCCCATCATTGCACAAATGCAATGAATATTGCTTATATTTTGGACTCCCTTCCTTAGCAATAGCGGTATGTTTTGAACTCAATTGATGTATACTCCTCTAATGCATTTTATGTACATTTTTGTAGGGGTCTGCTACGATAAAGAGAGCACTACAGGAAGTCGAGGCAGACATTATGTCTAGTCGTGTTCATGGCTAAGAGTGTTTCTTTGTTACGTATGCTTTTGTAGAACATAGATGATGCCCATGCAATAAACCGCTATAGTGAAGCACACATTTGCTCGATCCCGAAAATCACGAACTCACGAGCTCTGATCAAACTCTGATCAAATTTTGGTTATTAGGGATAGATTTACAGTGTAGCTACGGGGTTTGAAAAATATAATGCCGGACTTCGGCTTGCCTCCAAAATCGAACCGTAACCAAACGACCACCGTAAGATTGAGCACCCAGTGAGCGGTAGTAAGGAAAAAACCTCGTCGTGTGATGGTGTGACCTGTAACTAATAACATGGCCACAGATCCGCATAACTGTGCAGTACTAAAATTTCTATGGCTGTCGCACTATAGTCAACTAACCAAGCCCTGTCATTCAGCTCTGATAATCTGGCCATACAATGTTGCTAATTTGGTGGTCATATAACGGTATAGCAACCCTGGTGCCGTGGATAACACGTGAGTTTTTATTTTATTCTTGTTTTATGACTTTATCACTTGTCGCCACAGTTGCCACCCACGTTTTACGGGCAGTCACATATTGTAAGTTATTATATTATCCGTGTTTACTGATTCATCCAGGTATTCTCGCTTTTGCACCGGCATTATCATCTCTTGTTTCCTGCTCGTTGATTACTTTTCTGTTTTTTCAATGTAAATATAACAAATACAGGCTACCACATATGAGAATAAGCACAATATACTACATTCATTTTTACAGATATGGTCATGCCCTTAGGAATATTCAAAGAGACCTATCGGAATTGTCGGTCGTTGAAAGAAATCCGATGCCGTCGCCGGCATTCCAACCGTAACCAAATGACCACCGTAGGTTTTCGCATCGTCTACATTTCCGTCCAACTCGACTCGCACAACAATTCAGTGATCCGTTCGGCTCTCACATCATAAAGCTAACGGGTCGCACACCACATATGCGTATTTCCGAACCACTATACATCTTGAACTTGTTCCTCCAGCCATGTCCAAAGCTCCTTTCCAAGTTGAAGATCTTGTGTGCTTGCGACGGGTCTACCCACCCTTGCCCATGGTATGAGATACTAAGACCGATTTTTAGCTGTTCCGTGTGGTGTGAGTGAGGAAAACAGAAACATTTACCTTTCCATTCAGCGAAGCGCCATCCGGTATAGTCCCAGCGTACAGCTGCGTGAGCGCACCGTATGACACGTCATACAGCAGAACATCCTGCATCAAAGTTGATAAATTAATTCATACTGGACTTTGAGTGAGAAGATACTTGCCACTAGCATAGTGAACAGATTACTGCTGTGGCGTGATAGTTCCGTCCTGATGCCTCCTATACCGCGCAGACGTGAATCGTTTCACTTCAGCAAGATTTGATGTTATTCCTCCGTAATACTTACCTGGGTTGAGGGCCGTAGATACTATGCCTTGTTGCCCGTAGCGACGTGTTAGTTCAGCTGCGAACACAATGTTTCCCTGCGGCGAACATCAACGCGGTATACAGGAGAAATTTGAAAGCTGCACACACCGTCTTACTCTGCCCATATAATCTCGCCGAAGACATCTCCCTCCGCGCAGGCGAGTCTTTAAATGTGTTGAAGTGAAGGCCGCTAAGGTGGTGTGCCGAGGAGGAAGTGTTAACAACGCGTGCGATACCATCCGGTGAAGACTTGGCTGTTGATAATAGGACCGGCAACAGAAACTTTGTGAAGTAGAAGTGTCCTAAGAGATGCGGGAGTAAGAATTGGACGTTACTTGGAACTAATTTTACCTAAAACGTTCGTCCCAAACTGAAGGTCATATCCATCCTCAGTCACTAGATTGACAGGGCAGTTGGCCACGCCTCTGAGATATGGACACCGCTGTCAACAATCTGAGAGGAGACACACATGAAGGAGACTCACGCATTGTTGAACAGGACGTGTAACTTTGTTTCCTGACTATCAAAAACATCAGCTACACATAACCACATCTAGGAAACCTCCACTCACTTCAAAAAATACTCCGCACCGGCCTTGACACTTTTCAGACTTGCCAGGTCCAACCTGAGAACGTGCACCTCCTTTCCAGTACGTTCTAACAACTCTTTAGCAGCGTATTCGCCTTTCTTGTGGTCTCGGGAAGTGATATACACTCGTGCGTTCTTGAGAAGTAATACCTGCGGTGAACATTGTCCAGTTTGCATTCAATGCTCATATATCAATTATACAACGTACCCTAGCGGTTTCCTTCCCAATTCCAGTATTCCCACCAGTAACAATCACTACCTTTCCAGTCATGTCGGGAATATCATCGATGCCAAACTTTGATGTAGGGGGAAACGTCTCTTGAACTAGGGACCAGAAATTTCCCATATTGAAGATTGAGGCCACACGAGAATAGCTGTTGTAGAGGGATGAGATGACACTCATAGTATCATGAAGAATCACATTATATTCAAACCGCTACCTTCATTTCGATTTCGTACGTTGCTACCAATGCCGGCCATACATGCAACGCGTTCAAGTCGTTCAACATGCCGAGTCCTCGTATTAATAGCGGCTGGCAATACAAAGTCGGCCACATAGAGCTATACTCCCATCGGAATTAATGGATGTCACAGGCTAATACGGCATCTTTGCCGTGAGTAGTCGTGTACTGGTTTGACGGAAGCTTCAAAGCGTTAACCTTCATGGAACCTTGAAGTCCGAGGACTTTTGTCATCAGCAATCGCCGGTCCTGAACGGCCTATACCTATCCTATCACAACGAAGCCCATACAACAATTTGAACGCCAATGGGTTTTTTGTAAAGTATAACCCTACGTTAGGTATATTTCAAACTAAGCACTGATACAATGAGCCAGATCGTTATGTGGAGGCTCAAGCATGAAATGGACAACTCACAAATATCCACATTATCATCGTCGTAACCAAATCCTACACCAAACCAGCATCACATATCATCTTAGCCTCCCTGTGAATCGTCTCGATATCCTTCAAAATCGCCTGTCCCATCTCGACCTTTTCCGATTTTCGCGCAAGTAGCTTGCTGGCCTGATCGTGTGCCAGCCTTGAATCACGGGTATAGTTGGCTGGGGGAAGGCGAGATGAGAGCGCAGCCTTTTTGTTGAGGAAAAGAGCAGGGAACGAACCGATGAGCAGCGAGTCTTCGTCACTGGTATGTGGTTTATTAATCTGCACTCCTACGAGGAACGTCTCCGCATCATGCACTACACCAATCCGGTTTTGAATACCCCCTAAGGCACATATCGTAAAGCGCACACATACCTCTTCTTATTTTCTTTTCTGTCACTTCAAGTACATATTGTTGCGTCTTTGAGTGACTCGATGAGACGCCCCTAAACAGCTCGAGCAAACGCATATTGACGTACCACATTGCCTAATACTCCACATTCTTCTTGTATCCGCAGACTAGTGGTATCAGGCTTATTAACAGCAACATCGGTAATGTGTTGTGAAAGCGCGCTGATATACCCCTTCGTCAAAGGCGCCTCATCCTGCAGTGCGGCTCGCAAAGCAGCAGAAGTGTGAGTACTGAAAGTGTATAACTGTAGATCGCGATAACGAGTCTGAATTGAATAAAAGGAACAGAATTTTTGTACTGACAGATGCAAGATGATGATCGCACAGAAATCCCAGTGCAATAGAACGATCATATACCTCCTGCAACAGTTTTTGCCTCGCGTTCTAGAAAAGCAAACGTTAATTCTTAATTGGCCACATAAGCTGGGTCTCATACTTTAGATGCCAGTGCCTCAGCAGGGTCCGTTGCCTTGACGTTGTCGGAAGAAAAATGCACTTTGCTTCTGGCGTTCGCATGCGCAGAGGCTTTGACATGCTGGCTACAAGCCAAAATTGAAACATCATTACACTCATGAGGCGGGAATTTACTCACAATAGTGCCTCCACCCTTTCGTCAGACTCTACAAGGTTTTCCGACCTAGCTATAGCTTTGCGAAGGCGAAGCTCGAGTTTGTTTGAATCTTGACCTTGTCCCTGAGAAGCAAGATTGCTGAGATATATATGATGGGCATGTAGCCGCTAGAGGTGGATAACGGAAAAGAAAAAGGGAGAGTGTTAGAATCAGCATCCTGAAAACTAAACTAGTAATATTGATTACCGTCAAAGCGTCTTTAGTATGGCTTGTCTTCATCAGCTTGTGAGAGGGTAGCCGTTGTTTGATGACCTGCTGAGTAAGGACAGGAGCCGTTCTCTTAGAACCATTCTAGAAGCCGTATTAGCGCGACTAACAGTTTGAGTGGGTAGAACGAAATTACTACTTGTAAGCTCCGCTCCTGCACACGTTGCCTTCACCCATACAAAAATACAAGTCATCACATCAGTTCTCGTCAAAGGAAAAACTCTACCACTCACCTAAACTCCTTCAACAACCCCTCCATCGCCTCAACCCGTTCCTTTCTCGCCCTTTCCTTCCTCTCTAGAGCCAACAGCAGCAAATCAACGTGGCGTTCGCGGACCAGCACTCCCTCAAGCCGCCTCACCTCTTTTTCTGCAAATCACAATCACAATCGGGAGTGTTCTCAGTACTTCCGAGCCTTGCTGCACGCCACACACGAGGGAAAGCTTACCATCTGAGCATAGCGCGGCTTCCCGCTGCCTTAGCTGCACCTCCAGACCCTCAACCTCGCGTCTCGCGCCTTCAAGCCTCGAAGAAGCCTTCCGCATCTCCATTCTCGCCGCTCCCATCCCATCCCCAGAAAGCCTCCTCCTCGAAACTTCGTCGCTAAGCAGTCTACACGCGATGCAATCCAGGAAGATAAAATGTTTATCATAAAAACAAAGAAATAAGACGCTCACTCGTCCAACTTTGTCCTAACCACCCCCACACCGCTCCTCCCTCTCACACTCTCCGCAAGGAAGAACAACGCCTCTCCAAAAGCACCTTTTGTAAGTCTCCCCAACTCCTCTTTTGATACAGGCGGCGCGCCGAGAAGGGCGAGGCGTGCATGTAGTGCGTCCACGTCCATCTCCGCTTGCATCATTGGCGCCTCCCGACTAGTCCCAGCCCCCGCCGTCCTTGAAGTTGAAGGTGCAGCAGCGGCAGCCTTTGGCTGTGGAATTCGAGATGCTTTTGACATATGGATTTTGTGGATTCGCGTGCAAGTCTGATAAGAGAGGACACAGAGAAAGATTAAAACGATGGTGTTGTCGTGTTTTCACTGGTTTACGAGCGAGGTTATGAACATATGTAACTATATGCTTTGTGGTCTTGTGCCGAAACCGATGAAAGGAGAAGCAAGCCAGGTCCCGCGTCAATTGCCAGTCTGAGTGTCGCGGAGTCTCGTACCAAGTATCATGATCACTGGCACTATATTAAGTATACTATGCCTGGACAGCTGTTGATAACGGTACATCAGTTGATAATGACCTTCCATGGGCAGAAAACTAATTTTTGGACAAATCATTTAATATTTATCTATTTGAATTCTTGCTAGGGAAGGAGGAGAATTCTAGAAAGGAGCGTAGGCACCCTCAGTCACGGTCGTGTTGCAGACTCTGTTTTACTACCGCGTCTATTTATGAGCGCTAATAAACTGGCACCTACCAGTAAAAATGATCATGTGACCACGCTCCTCAGCGCTTATCGCACAAAAGACAGAACTTATAGATAATGTATGTCTTGGGGCCCATGACCCGAACTTAGCCAATGCCCTCACTACCACCTCATCATAAAGATGATACAAATTCCTCTTTCGACAATCCATGGCCACCTGTCAAGACTGTCTCAGAAAGCCTGCGGAGTCTCCTGCAGCTAGCTTTGCCCTTGGTCCGTGCAGACTCCGTTGTTACAGGAGATATTCAAGTCACGAAATCGATCGATGCAGACTTTACAGTATACAATAGTGTAGAGGGGAAGGCTGGCATATGCGCTACCTGGCTTGGTCACGCCGTGAGTATCTGTAGACTCTTAGAACGTATAGTCGCAGCGGGTCTGAAATATGTTCCGAACACAGGGATTTCTCGTGCAGCTCCCTGCTCGTGGATATGTAAAACCTGTGCATATCATTTTTGACCCGATTTTCGCAGAGTCTGCATATCCGTCTAATGTGTTCAGGGGTTTACGCAGACGCCTTCCTGCGCCATGTACTATCGATCTCCTTCCTGAGATTGATTTCGTCGTAATAAGTCATAATCAGTAAGTCCATATCTTGAACTATGCAGCAGCATATGTGATTCTTTAACGCTTTTAGTTATGATCACTGCGATACGGATACCTTATTGGCCATCTGGAAGCGATCAACGCCTGATAGGCCTACTCGGTTTCTTGTTCCACTTGGAGTTCGGGTCACCTTGGTAGCTGTAGGCATTCCCGAGTCTCAAGTTTTAGAGCTGGATTGGTGGGATTCTATCGCATACCCGTCGTATTCTTCCTCCTTCTCACCTGATGCTCAACTTGACCATGCCTCCGACCTTGTATTCACATGTACTCCATGTCAGCACACTAGTGGTCGGCTTTTATTCCAGCTATATGTCTTATTGTGCTCATGGCTATCACTGTTTAGGAAGAGGTGTCTTCGATCAAAAGGGCTCCTTATGGTCAAGTTGGGTCCTTCAGCAGAAATCGACAAACGGTGACCCCGTGGCTTCAGTGTATTTTGCAGGGTCCGTCTTCTCTTTTAACGTGATTGAGTATACTGCTCACACTGGAGTGTCATTATCGGCTCTTAGAGATACGGGATACCAGACAGCAAGCGGACCCTGCCGTTAGTATCAACCGATTTCGTATATTTTCATTCATCTGCACTCACGTTTGTCTTACAATTCAAAGCTGCTTTTCAAGGTATTCACCTCCTTTCACCTTCAAGCCATTAACTTACACAGGTTTGTAGAGATCGGTGAAAAGTTCGGGCCCTTTGACCTCGCAATGATTCCTATCTGGCGAGGTGCCACCCTAAGTTTTCTGGGGCAAATAGGCTATCGAGTGCGTGTTGTTAACTTTTGTGACATTGTTGTCTCTTTCAAGAGTTTAACGCTATGATGCTGTGTCCAGCTCGCAGACGAAACCCATCTCGCAACCACTCACGCCTCGCCAGAAGATGCCGTCTTACTCGCGCAAGACGTACGAGCTCGTCACTCGCTTGCAATGCATTTTGCCACCTGGGCAGGGAGTGACGATGAGGCGGTGGAACCTCTCGTGAGACTTTGCCAAGCACGAAGTGGTGACTGGAAAGAGGAAGGAGGGTTTGGTGCAATTGATATCGGTGAAACTGTTGTTGTACCTGTGAATTCTAGCTGAGTTTTGGTGTTCGATCGAGTCATCTGTAATACTCTATATTGAAATAAGGGAAACAATAGATGAGCTGCACTCGCCTCTGTAAGCGCGTTTGTCTGCTTCCACCGATTTGTCACCTCCTCCCTGAGTGCGACCCAATTGTCCGCCTCCACGAACATATCGTGCTGCTCATAGGCTTCGGGGTCCTGGGCAACGAAAGCGCCTTCCTTGATATAATTGATTATGTGCGTTAATCCACATTCTTGTGCAAAATATTTCTATGTCTCACACCCTGAACTTTTACATCGGTATTACTGAAAGGAGGTTGCCGTCCTACGTACACGATAAACGTACGCCAAACCTTTGTTTCAGCATCAAGTTTTACATGTTGATGCTCGGAATGCGTTGCCTGGTCTGTTTTCTCGGTCGACATGGCGGGCGAGAATGATGAGATATTAATCAAGCGGGGACCTATACAACGCGATGTGAATACAACAAAATTATTTGCGATGACCGGCGCAAAATATGGAACAGAGGAAAGGAAAAGGATTGGAATATGGATGCGGCCCGTTACGAGAAGAAAAGGCAAGCCTTAGAACTTTATATGTCCGATCCATAATGGTACTGGATATCAAAAAATAAAGCGAGGTTGATTGAAACCAGAAATCAGAAATGCATCAAGCATTCGTTATTACATGGGAGATGTGACAATCACATGCATCATCTCCTTGGACATGTGGAGCCACACGAAACGACGTCGTCCATTCCGCTTACTGTGCTTTTCTTGAACCATTTTGCTTTTCGCCCTCTCGAACACAATAAGACAAGTGGACTCTCCTAGCCTACATGTGCACTCAGATACTTTCGTTGTCTTGTTTCTGTCACACCTTGGTAGATGCAAGCTAGTAAGGGATTCGCCTTGATTCAGTGGAGTCTCTGTGGAGGTCTGAGTAAGTGACTGATCTGATCAACCACTGTATGGTCGAGGAGGGATCGGAAGTGAAGGTGAATAGAGCAGGGGTGAGTGAGTCCCCAGACCAGTCTGTACAATCAGGGCACCGGTGATTTTGGAATCGGATCGAAGGCAGAGAGGGTATAGCGGAAGGGTGTACTGCCTCTGCGAACCTTTTTGCTACCCTGCGGAGAGTGGGGATCGGGAAGAGAGTAACAATTCACCAGTTCAAAAATTCAGGTTTGGATCAGGCTGTGCCTCCAGGGAGTGGCCTTTTTCATCAATCCCACAAACTGACGCATACTAGGACTCATTCACCCTTCGTATAGTTCACCAAGGCCTCCACTGATAACAATATCGGTTCTTGCACGTCCATGGCTCCTCGTTTCAGACGCCTCAGAGAACCTTGTAAACAATCTGCGAACTCTTCTGTTACCTCGCTCGACCGTTTTGACACCAAAGACAAGGTATATTCAACAATCGGTCGCATAGCAGGCAGCATGGCAGATACATCTGCACCAGGGCCATAGCGGATAAAATCCCATGCTTTGAAGACAAGTGTCCATTCTATATCTCCATTTATACTGTCCGCTAGCATTTCTTTTAAGACGGGCCTCCCAAGCGTTGCTACAATATATGCTGACATATGTGACCGCTGCGAGTCTCTCAGGGTAACTTGCTGAAGAGCACGCGCAATAACATTACATCGTTCGTAATGACCATCGTGGTGGAGCAAATCATTCCAAGCGTCATTCCTGGAGAGGCAAAATACGATTTGGAGGTAGCTTAAATCACGTTCGTAAAACAGGAAATCGTCGGGAAATGCCTGGTCTGGGTGATACAAGAAGTCCGAGGGTCGGGTGTATGGACGAGGGAAGGCAGCAAAACAGAGAGCAGGCGAGAATTTAGTAAAGAGAATGGTTTGCAACGGTTCGTCCTTGGGATGCGACAGTACATTTCTCAGAGTTTGGGCAAGCTTTAGAGAAGCGTGACGAGTCCGTACTGACATGCTTGGACCCATCGCCCAGATCATTGTTTCCATCAATATGGCCTTTTTCTCGTAATGAATTACACGGGGCATCACGCTTAACGCTAAAAGTGCGTCCCCAACAGCAATCTCGTCTGACAAAGCTCGGAAGTGCTCGATATATTCGATTAGCCATTGGATATCGATAGTTATGAGAGCTTCTTCGCGGTTGGATCCCGATTCCTTCAAGCCATCAAGGTCCCACATCCGCTGCACGACATCTGGTGCAAGGTTCAAATCTGAGCCTGTTGAGATGCTGAAGTGGAGGGTCGAGCGAGCATAACTCCAAACTTTATTACTCGGTAGGGAGACTCCTCGAAGGGCTTCCTGGACTAAAGCCTTCGATACATGAAGACTCCACAGAGGTATACAGCTGGCATAGAATATCCTGCGGAAATCGCGTACTCGAAGAAGGTTTGACAGAGGTTCCAGTAGTCTGACCGCACATAAACTGCGATACGTTAGCAAACACGAGTTACTACGTGAGGGTAAAGCCTGCTGTAATTGTTGCAACACTGTTTTCAAAATAGTCTCCATCGAATCACTGAACACACAATTATTTCAGCGAGGTGTTCATGCAAAGTATATTGAGCCCACCTTTTATCAAGTCTGACGAGTTCCCTTCGGTGCATCGGTAGACCAGTAAGTAAGCCAATCGCCAACAGGCAATCGGCCAAAACATTTCTCGGGGGTAGGGTCACAGAAAGCAATCTGGAGATGGCCTGTACAGCAACATTTCTTGCCTTCAATGGAAGTTTTGAGTCACAAAGACAGTGAAGCAGAGGGTGTATAAACCAGGAGAGGTGTACATCTGGTATGTCCGGTAGAACCAGCTTCCTGCTGTACGCCGAATGAACAAATACATTTCTAAGAAGAAGGCAGATGAAGGCCAAGTCAGTATCTGTATCCAGTCGAAGAGAACCCAGCCATTCGATGCTCGGAAGATGCGTTTTATAGTTTGCTGTAGACAACAATGGAGCGTCAAACAGTGGGGGTAGATTGCGATGGTCATTGTCTTGTCGCTCCAAATATATATATAGGAGAGCCCTGCCACATGCAAGTGCACGGTCACGCCCAAGTGGTACTAATAGTGGGTGCCCAAGTTGAAGTTTTTCAAAACAACCTAAGAACGAGTCACGAAGTTGGAGTAAAGCACCAGATACATCGAGGTCTGATGACCACTCTACATCAGGGACCATTTTTGCTGCTGCAGTGATGACTTCGGGATCGGTAGAAGTTTCGAGGATCCACAAAATAGAGGGTGCATCTGAAGGTTCTGTGTTTTTATCACTGGTGGACAACTCGGGTGATGAAAGTGCTTCAGAAGACATTGACGAAGATCTTCTGATAGCTCTGACGAGACGTTTCCAGGCCAATTTTAATTGCACAGGAAGTGAGCCGAGAGTCTGGATGGCATAATAAGGGATATATAGCATTAACCGGAACATCACTGCACCCTTGGCATAATTTCCTTGAAGTTGCTCGTAATAGTGGATGATCCCTTCAGTGAATGTACGAAGGATAGCAGACGCCGGAGTCTGGTAGGGACAATCGTGAGAAGCCAGAGAACTAAGCACAATAACGACGTAGAACAGAACGCCGAATGCAGTGGTGCCTATTACAACAGACGCAACTGTCTGTTGTTGTGTCCAGAGGTAGGATCCGAGTGCAGTTCCGAACAATAACAGGGAGATCTGTAGTAATAAAGGTAAAACCTCCAACACAGCGTCGAAGTGCCAGGCTTGTAGACCATCAAATTTTTGCTGTCGGCGCCTACCACGAGCAGCAATGGTACCTCTACCATGACGACTGAAATGGCTTAACCATTGCTTTCCTAGGACAGCGCCTAGAGCAGCGAGAAGACTGGCCGAGAGACTTGCGTACATAACAGTTTGAATCCATATAACAGTGGAGCCAGGTCCATTCCATGTTGGAAGCTCAATAGTTTGACCTGAAACTGTACTGTTATCAATGGTATGTATCAAAAGCTTGAGCAGAGCATTCGTTGTGTCAGTTGGATTCGGGCTCAGGTTGGGTTCTAAGCTGACGATGAATGATGTACTGACAGCGGAAAAGAGACCAGCCTGCGATGACAGATGGTCATATATACAATAATCAGAACGACACGGGCCACCCCGAGAAAGCACCTACGAATATCAGTACTATATCCATGTCGCTTTTGTACTTATCCAGAAACTCTCCGTCGTATTCTGCGGCCTCTGTTCTGTATGTAGTCCAAAATCGAGAACGGACATCTTTACCGCCGCGATTTACAATTGTAGACTGTTGAAGCGTTTCTAAGATCTCCAAAAGAATCCAGTGTGATCTGTAAACATAGTTGAGTCTATGAACGCATAACAAAGGGATTTTAGATGCACGAGCTCGAGGTACTAGACGATTGTGATTCTCTTTCTGGTTCTGGCATGATAACCACAACACTCTTTGTCGTAGGTTATAAAGTTCGACTAGTACCCTTGACTGTCAAACCAGTCTGATATTAGAGTTTTGAAGGCTGTGGGAACCTTTCCTTTGGTGAGACGAGGGTGAGATAAGAAAGGCATGGAAACGCAAAATTCACCATAAACTGAAAAGAACCAGATAAATGCCGCTGATGAACTGATCATAGTTAGATGAGTCCTTCACGACCACTGGCATTGAATGATATGAGTAGCAAACGCTGATGGGGTCGTGAGATAGCACCTCCTCGGCTCCTCGTTGTCAATACATGGTATTGCTGAGCCGTATAACTCCTTTTATACACAATGACATCGATGCAATGCAAGACTTGTCACGGTGGACACGATGTAGACACGGTTTCACGGGCAGGTGGAGTAATGGTAGTCGACAATATGTGGCCGTGTGACCGGGACCTCTATAAACTCATTTTATTTGACCGACTCGATTTAGTTCCGGGTCTTCTCGATCGTGATGGTTGTTGATGATGAGTTTAAACTCACGTGGGTCAAGATGTGGATACTCTTGCCATGTGCACGTGTAGTGGAGCTAGTGAAGGATGGTGTGGAAGTTCCACACCCCGAGACAGCGAAGAAGACGACCCAAAAGCTTCGATTTATTGTTCTACCCGACCTTTGAGCCTATTATCCAAAATCTCAAAAAGCATCTTAATAAGCATAAGCACACTTTGACCTTCCAACCGAGAAGCAAGCACTCCATCAGCATTAATTATATCACACACATACTTTGGAAATAATGTCAATGGATAGAATTCATGTATGCAAGCCCCGATAAACATTAGAGCAGCAACACTACAGACATTTTGAAAGAGAAGGGCTGAAATAAAATACATGTATCCGTAGACTCGTGGAGAGAGAAAGCGGTGATATGACAATCAAAATTCAAGGCTATCAACTCGCCTTTTCTACATCCTCTCTCAACTCTCTTTGTCCCTTCTCGTCAACCACGCTCGAGTCCTCGCTTTCGAAATCATAAAGGCTCTCAGGCTTAACATTTTGCCACAATACCCATTTCTTAACGCCATACGGAATCTGTCTGAGTCCATACGCAGCATGCACATGGGCGGGAACAGCAAAGATTTGGTCCAATTCTTCGAGCGTTCTTCCCTTCGTCTCACGAACGAAGAGTAAGATAAGCACCCATAGAACACTACTCAACTAGTCAGGAAACAAATGCATCTCGAATGTGGCGACACTCACCAGCACCATGCGGCATAGAAACCAAAGGCACCTTGAGGCTTAAAAGCCAGGACCAACGAAGGCCACGTTATTGACAAGATAAAGTCGAAGAACCATGTAGTTGCCGTCGCAAATGACATCCCTAAACAAGCGGCATCGTTAATAAGCACCAGTAAATTCAGTTTAACATATTACCAATCTCGCGTATATATAAAGGGAAGGCCTCTGCAGAGTATGTGAAAGGCACGGGTCCTTCGCCTGGGGAGTAGAATACGCCGAACAGGTCTAATACAGCTTCAAAGTTAGCGGTGTACTGAGCTAAACAGGTCATGAAACTCACATATGCCAAGGGACACTCCAGCTAGTTTGCCTTTCTCGGATGTACTCCAGAACGAAAAACCTGTGATCAAAAGGCAAATGGCCATACAAGGGAACGTGAACAACAGAAGGTTACGACGTCCAAACGTGTCAATCTAAAGGTAAATGTTAGATAGACACTGTAAAGTCTGATCAATGAGATCACATACAGTGAGCACAGCAGGAAACGCGAAAACCCAGTTGATTAAACCGAATCCGAAGGAAGCTAAAAGCGCAGAGACCTGGGTAAATCCGGAGGAAACAAAAACATTCGACGAGTAGTATGCTGGATCAAAGGTGGTTAATAATTGTAGGTAGTCTCGCCTTGGAAACCTCACCAATGACGTTAACACCACAAAATTGCTGCCCAAACATGACAATCCAACTTGCCAGGGCTGCATTCCTATTCCTTGGAACGGTAAACATCTCAACAAATCGGTTCCTGCCTTCCTTCATCTCATTCTCGGCCTCAAGGAGAACATGGATATAGTACAGATCTCTGGCGGCCTGCACCGTTGTGAGTCGAAGTCGACAAAGTTCCTTGTAAGCATCGTGGTATCGGCTTTTGGAAATAAGCCATCGAGGGGACTCCGGGGCGAACATAACTTGCAAGCAAACAACAAGACCAGGGAATCCTGCAGAACCCAACATCAATCTCCAATTGAGTCCAGTTATGTTGGGTTTGTCAGGAACGAAATAAAATGCTACATCGAGGAGATCACCAAACATGATACCAAACGCAGTCCACATTTGCCACATCATGACAAGTGCGCCTCGAATGGCGGCTGGGGAGCATTCAGCTGCATAAACGGGAACAGTGGCGGATTTTGGTCTAGAATATTATTAGTACAATACGCCCCGCAAATAGGATTAGGCATACCCGATACCAAATCCTAAGAAAAAGCGAGCGATGAAGAGATGCCACCATGTATTGGTAAGGGCACTCCAGATACATGTAAGGAAACTAAGGGGCTGGCGTGTTAACGAATGAATTTTTTTGACCGATGCTTAAGACGAACCTGATCATACAAGTGATAAAAATGGTCTTTTTCCGTCCCAGCCACCGATTCAAAGGGTCGGTGAGCCAACAGCCAACGACAGCACAACAACTAAACCCCGTCTCAATTTTCTTTCTCGCAAATATATTTCAGACAAACTCACAGATATGGAGCAGAGTTGACAAGACCAACTAGCCAAGAATCACGCTCTGGGACAATGTAAGAGGATCAATCTCAAAAAAGTGCGCTAGATACGTACGGCTATTAGTATCCCCAATCCCAAACTGCGTCGGGTAGATGATCTGGGCACCATTGATGACGGCCTGGTCCATTCCCTGAACAGCCGCCGCCATAGAACTCATGAATACCATCTATAAGGCGATGAGCAACTGGCTTTCTACTGGCATACTTCGCTGGATACTTACATAGTATAATGTTCTTGTCTGTTGCCACTTATGAGTCACCTCCATGCGCAGCACCCGTTTATCCTCCTCGGTAAACACATCATGACGTTCTAAAGCTGATGAAAAAAATCAGTTTAAGTAGCAATAACACGATGGAAATCATACCAGCTGGGTCTTGTGCGACAAGAGCGCCCTTTTTAAGTTCATCAATGATGTCTTCGAGACCTCTCTCTTGCGCAAATATTTCAACATCCGTCATCAATTGATTGTATGGGATACCACGCAAAGGGTTTGTAAGTTTAGCATTGGTATTCCTGGATAATTCATGAGAAACAATTCGTCGGTCGATAGGGTATAGCATACGCTACTACTTTGCTTTTTGCATCGAGCTCACGGGTACGATGACCATGGTGGTGGGTATGCTCGACCTGAGCAACCGATTCATGAACGACTTTGCCTTCGTTAGAGGAGGACATCTCGAACCTGGGAAAAGCCGTGCTTCAACTGCTTCATGCATCTCTTGATTATATATCGTAAGGCGTCCCGCCAAACCATCCCCACCTGCCTTCAGCGCAAGTGGAGCATCTTTAATCCTGTCCCGTCGGTGTTTATATTTGACTGATCGCAGCGTGCCTTTAGCGTCTAACATTCTGAACCCCAGATCCCCCACATCTTTCCGATCTACTATGTACTGGATCTCAACAAGTCAAATGCAGTGTCGTTCCATCTCGACACAGTCATATCGTTTTCAGAATTTAGCCTGGCCAAATAGAATATATCCCGTACTCACAAGAAACCAGATGGACGTCATCGAATAAATTTTGAGCGGGTACATATGCATGAGGGATTCAATGATAGTGACTCAGACTGGATTAGATCCAGGAACAAATCACGTTGCGATATGGAAGTATTGGTGGTAAAGACCGGTGTCCGAGTCGGACGTTACAACATCTACAATTCGGCACTTTGGTTCTACAACGCTCAAGATTTGAAAAAGTGAAGATCTAGAATAGGGACCACATCAGTTGGACGGAGCTCTTTGATTAACAATATACCTAGAATAGGGACACTATGGGTAGATAAGAAGTCAGAAATAACATCGAAGAAAAGATAGATTATCATACCGTAGGAGTCAACTTAGGGAGAAAAGAAGGGGTTCGCCATTGCGAGGAACATGACCAAATCGGACAGTCACCAGAAATAGATGTAGATTAGATTGGAAAATGATAAGATAATTATTTTAAAGCAACTGAACTTTTTTTCGATCTGAACCTCTCCACAGTCGCATCAGGGAATTGGACAGTTCGTGAGATGCGCTTTTACCTAATAGATATAAACAAAACCATTTCATGGCAAAATGGAGCCAAATGATAGGATAATGTTAATAAATCTAAGTGAAACTCAGCCGCTGCCTGAGAGGCTATAGAAACGACTTTATTATTTACCTAAGTGAAACTACAATAGATGTTAGTTTAAGGTGATTTCTAATAAATGTAATGTAACATATCACCACACAATGGGATCCGCACCCATGTACAGTGATTCTGGACCTTCTGGGCATGCAACCAATCAGTATGCTTTCCAAGTACACCTTGGTAGCTTAGTTGGTAAAGCACCAGACCATGAAAGCTGGAGTCCCAGGTTCAAGCCCTGGCCAATGCATGTTTTCTCATACTATAAACAAATGTCATAATTTGTCATAACATACCTCAGCCGCTGCCTGAGAGGCTATAGAAACGACTGAGGTATTCCTATACTCAACCCCCTACTACTTATGGATGGAGGTGACAAAACCGGATAAACCCGTAGTCTCTGCCGAAGCAGCCATTGTTCTCCTAGGAGCACAATTGTACTCCTAGGAGTCATTATACTATAGCTGTAACAACCAAGATAAACTCTGGCGCACACAGGAACACACTATAAAGAATATGAAGAGGGAGTGGTTACCCTTTAAGATGCAGTGAGTTAGTTGGTATACAACAGGAGGACTCGCTGAGGAGTCCCCTGGATCTATTGGGGTATATATACTGAATACATGTTTGTTTGTACATATGTACTGTACAGTTGCTAGAAGCAGTGACTGCTGATGTCATGGGGTCTAGCCTGTGTGACCAGCTCCACTGTGTGAGATACTTGTATCTAAAATAAGAATAAAGGCAGCGCCGCGCGAGAAAGGTGGAGTTTGAACTAAAAAGGGAAATGCCACATGGCACAGTGTGAAAACTACAGTACAAGGTTTAAAGCGGAGAATGAAAATCAAAGGAAAGGTCCGAAAATGAAAAGTAAAGTAAATGGTCACATGACTGGTCATGTGACTTTGGAAAAAGTAAAAGTGAAGTGCGAAAAGTAAAGTGTGAGTATGTACTGGTATGTCAATTGTAACAATAGTGAGTAGCACCTCCGACTATAAGTAGTAGGGGGTTTAGTATAAGAATACCTCAGTCGTTTCTATAGCCTCTTGGGCAGCGGCTGAGGTATGTTACATTACATTTATTAGAAATCACCTTAAACTAACATCTATTGTAGTTTCACTTAGGTAAATAATAAAGTCGTTTCTATAGCCTCTTGGGCAGCGGCTGAGTTTCACATAGTTTTATTAGGTTATGAGCCCTGGTGCGCAAAAGCTACGCAGGAAATAATTCTTATTTGAAACGGCAACCTCGGAACCATGACCACAGCACACGATACATCCACATGTCCAGTTCTCACTGGACCCAACAATTTTCAGATATGGAAACTCCGGATCATCTCAAAGCTACGTTGGGAAAAAGTTCTCCAGGTTGTTACTGGAGAGGAGCTTAAGCCCTCACCAGGAAAACCTACGTCCTCGGAGGATCCTGAAATCACCTGGATACTTAAGGATGAGAAGGCACATGAAATCATTCAGGACCACATCTCTGATGCCCTCCTAATGAGGACTGGAGACCTCACCAGCTCCAAGGAGTTATTTGATAAACTTGTCTCACTCCATCAGACGTCCAACATTGCCTCAGCCTTCTATTCATTCCAGCAACTCACCAAATTGTCCTGGGATGGGACATCACCTATCCAGGACCACATTGCAAAAATCCGGACAATTGATTCACACATCTCCGGAATGAAACTAGGAGTTGATACCAAACTCATGGCTTTCGCTCTTCTCCAATCTCTCCCATGCACTCCTGAATGGCAAATATTTCAGTCATTGGTAATCAACACAATTGAAGAAAATAAACTTACCTTTGATGTAGTTGTGATCCGGATTACTGCAGAAGTTGCACGACAGTCAGGGAAGGCCCTGGAGGTTCCGAATCAGCACTCAAATCTGAGGAGAAGTGGTGTGACTTCCACAAAGCCAAATCACACAACACCTTGGAGTGTTGAACACTTCAGTCAGCTGGAAAAGGTCAAAGGGAGAAGGAAAACGCAAATACGGCGGAGCAATTGTCTGGATCTGACTCCGAGGAAAAACAGAGTCATATTGCATTGGAACATATACATATTTCCAAGCCCCTTGCTAAACGCATTCAAGCTTACCTTGTGTCGGAACCCGATAAGACCAAAACAACAATTATCATTGACTCCAGAGCAACATCTCACATGGTCCCTCACTGCTCCTGGTTTGAGCCAGGAACATACCATATTCTGAATCCTCCGAGGACAATCAGTTTTGGGGATGAATCCTCTGTAAATGCCATTGAAATTGGAACTGTAATCCTACAAGCAACCATTGGCAAAAAGGACTACAATATTGCACTGTCAAATGTCTTACTTGTGCCAAACTTCACTTTAGCACTTGTCTCTGTCCACAAATTGTCTAAAACGGGGTTATCAACACTTTTTCCAGCAGGGTCAAATGCTTGTGAAGTTCGGAAAAAGAAGGAACTTATCCTCACTGCCTTACACAAGCAAGGACTTTATCACATCCAAGCAAAACCCAAAATCAACCCGGAGTCAGGTTTTGCAGCAGTAGATGTAAATTTATTGCACAGGAGAATGGGACACATTGGAATGGACCGCTTGCAACAAATGGTTACAAAAGGACAGCTCCAGGACATAGACACCCTTACCGGAACCCTGGAGTTTTGTCAACCTTGCGCTTTAGGAAAGATGAAGAAATTACCTTTCAAGTCCACTGGAGGAAACCAAGCCAAGCGCTCCATACAAATTGTGCACATGGATGTTGGAGGACCAATCAAACCAACTTCCAGGGAGGGTTTTTGGTACTGGATTATCATTGTAGATGATTTCTCCAAATTTCCATGGATATATTTCCTAAAACATAAAAGTGAAGCACTGGAACGATACAAACAATGGAAAGAAGATGTCCAAACATTCTTCCGGACTCATTTGGGAGAAGAAAACTTCACTCCACTGTACACAGAATTCCTCCGGAGCAATGGGGGAGGAGAATATAAATGTATTCAAAAATCAACTCCGAGGAGATGGTGTCATCCAAGAAACTACAGCTGCAGATACTCCGGAACAAAATGGCATTGCAGAACACATGAATCAGACATTGGCTACATTAGCAACCACTATGCTCTATGATTCCAAGCTCCCAAAGTCATTCTGGGTAGATGCCATGCAAACAGCTGCATATATCACAGCACGCAGCCCAGCATCAGGACTCCATGGAGAGACCCCATATGAAATACTGTTTAAAAGGAGAGTTGTTGATCCAACTTTATTTTGCCCTTTCAGATGCCAAGCATATGCCTTGATTCCGAAAGACAAAAGGCAAGGGAAGTTTTACTCCAAGGGGCGCAAAGCCATATGATTGGCTACACACATGGAAAGCAAGCCTACAAACTCCTAGACACTGAAAAACGAACTGTGTTTTCCAGTCGGCATGTCATATTCAATGAATCCGGAAAGGTACAAAAGGACAACACTGCTCCCTGGAACACAGACACTAGCACAGATCAGTGGGAGGGACTCATTCCAGAGAATGCTATCCAGACCAAAATACATTGGAGGAGGATGATCCTGACCCTCGGATCCGAGATCCAAATGAATTGCAAATGGAACCACATCTCCAAGGAGATGTTCCACAAGCAATGGAACCATATCAGCATGAAGATGTTCCAAGAGCAGTGGGGCAATACCTCCGTGGAGACGTTCCGAGCGCAGTGGGAGCACCTGATCAGCTAAAACACCCTCCACAACAGTCTCTACAACCAAGACCTGAACACTGGCCATCTTCAGAATGGAAAGCCAAAGTAGAGTTACAGTCAGTGGGAGGACAGCCCCTCAACATACAGCCAGCTGATGTGGAAAAAGTCCGAATACAGCTAGACAGCGTGTCCATTGGATCAGCTTCTGGAAGGCATACAATGTTAGTTTTGGTGATTCTGCACCTTTGTGCTACCTATATATTTTCATTCCTTTCTCTATCTATTCTTCTATCATTCACTATTGATTGTGTTCTCTATTATTTCGCCTTTGTGGCTGCTTTGTTGACCTTTGTTTACAAAACTTCGGACAGTATTGCAGAGTCCAATGCTTCCTATTCTCTAGTTACTCACATTGGACTCTAGGTACTGTATACCTGTCATACTCTCTAATAATAAAGTTACTCACATTGG